TTTATTTAGGCACCACCACGACGACAACCACTACAACAGCTCTGGATTGTGATACTTGTGTGGTTACTACTCTTGTTGGTGTTGGTGGTGGTGGTGCTGCTACTCCTGTTGGTACTTGTGCTGCTGCTTGTCCTCTTGTTGATGCTGTTGCTGTTGTTGGTGTTGTTGATGGTCGTATTTGTTCTATTACTTCAACTGGAAATTGTGCGGCTCCTGCGGGTGCTCAGACTGTTTGTAGCAACGGTGCTGGTTTTACTTGTTGTTGCGTGCCTCCAGCAGGTTAAAAGCTGTACGAGACGTTGGTCAAGTGACTTTGAAAATTATATACTCTCTTTTAATTTCTTCATATACTCTTACAGAACTTATTATCTTCATAGACTTGTGATGTCATATGAAGCCTATCTAATCTTGAAGAGCGTTGGTGTGGTTTGTACTTTTGAAAATGCTTTTTAGCATTTGAAAATCTTATCTAACACAAACTCTAATTGAGTTTAGACTACTTTTATATAACATTCACTATTTACAAGATGAAGTTTTAATTCAACATATCGAATTTATATTAGATTACTAACTAATGGTGAAGGTTTTATTACTAACTAGTTTTCTGGTTCTTAACTTCTTCGTTCATTTTTTTCTCTTTCTATTTAGCCGCGATAAATATCATAATTTTTATCTTTTAAAAGTCTTCTTTTTTTTTACATTTAATCATTATTTTTATGTGCTTCAATATTCTTAATAAATATTTTATATTAGAATATAGCAAAAATATGCGAATTTTTGAGGTGATTGTTTTTCAAACTATTAAAGAATTAAATAGCTGCAAAATTTTGAGTTCATGTGTTTTATCAGGCTCATCAAGAGTGTTATTACTGCATCTTATGCCTATGAAAAGAAGATTTTATGTTTTGTTTTATCTAATGATAAATAAAAGGAGGCGACAGAAGTTATGCGATTTTTTTTTAAATTGTAGCTGAAAAAATAAATAATTCTAAACTTCGTCTCTGAAGATAAAGTTCTCCATTTACGTAGGATATCTTACGTTAGAGTTCGAGTGATTTCTTGAATGGATTAGCTATCAAGTTCTTTGTAGTCTATCTCAACTGGTTTCTAAGTAGAATTACATGTGTTCTATCCATTCCATGGGTCATTCCTCCAAAAATAACCACACTAACATCGATAAAAATGTTAACTACTGTCCAAAAATATGGCAAAAAACAATGAATTCGTTCACAGTTCGGTGCGGATCACCTATGAGTAATTCTCAATAGATCAAATGATGTTTACAGATAGAATTCGATGGACTCTATCGATTTCACGTCTCTCTAACTCGATTTCGATGTGGCATTTATAGAGAATCGCTAGTTAGTTCTTTAATCATGTACAGTGTAAAGAGAAATCTAGTCATCAGTTTCTTTATTTCAGTCAATCAATGTAAGAGAAGAGAAGAAGATGCAATCATTTTGCTAATAATATCGGTGTGTACTCGATTTGTATATATGTGGAGGAAAGGAAAAAAATCTAATGACTCATTTCATTCGATCAATAAAAAGAAGAGAACGAAAAAGGTTTGTCCTTCCTTCAATTTGACGACAACATCAAGAAAAATGCACTTATTCGCTTTTCCGTTTTAGCCAATAAGTCTGAAAGATAGAAAGATGTCGCACATTTGTTTGTCATTAAGAGAAGTAATCAAGAACATTGTTCTTAGAAATATTAAAAAATATGAATTGGGAAAAAAAGGAACTTCTAATGATTGACGATACACTCTACATTAATTTGTTTAAATGGTAGGGCATATCAAAGAGTGTGAGCACCGCAATGTCACTGATCTGCAGATCTACCTCTATCATCATCAAGTTGAGAAATTGGGTTTAGTTTTCTTTTGTCTTATTTGTGAATAAAGATTGAATGTTGACGGTATTCATCTTTGACAATGGATTTCTGATGAGTAGCTATCTGAAGTTTGATCCATTAATTACTCATTCTTTCAACACTTCATTTCATATATTTGATATATGAGAATTTACGACATTTATGATGTTGATAAATGAATATTCTGAATCAGTGACAATATTATGATACAAAGAAATCTATACACTAATCATGTTCTGTACAAACGATTCTAGGTTGTTTATTTCTGTTTGTATTTTGTATACGATCAATTCAATAATATAAAGTAATATAATGGAGAGAAAGAAGTAGATGACTGATATAATGTTTATTTCACACTCGTCAAACAATTATCTAAATCTTAGTTTTCTTTTTATGTAAAAGATGTCATTAAATCCTTCATTATTTTGCTCAACTGTAATTGATAGGATAAGAGAGACATATTTATGTCATGATTTCAATTTGTAGTGTGAATTGGGGTTGGTTTCAAGTATTTAATGGAAAACCAGGTGTAATAATGATTCATTATTGTGTACATAATGAAATGGATCCTAGAAAATCAACACATATAACTTGGTGCCTAAGTGTGAATGTGGGTGAATATGTATGAAGAGATGATCCACACCCATAACACTCATAAATTAACGAGCTATTGACACCATTGTATCTTTCTAGTTATACTAGGGTAAATAATATTACATTCCACATAGACCAAAGGCTTTGTCCTAGCCTTATAGTCTACCAGGCAGTACACTAAGCTGACAGCTCTGCTGCAGGAGCTATTCGAAAAGGTACAGTATTATGTGACATGCAAGGCATGCTTTTCTTGGTTTCAAGATTGAAAAAAAAAGAAAATACTTTTTTAAATCTCTGCGAATCAATAAAAATCAAAATATTTTAGAATAGATATAATATCAAGTTTGTGATAGTCAACAAAAAACTAACGAGGGAACTTCCCCAGGTGTTTAAGCCCTTTAGGTCCCATCTTTCGGCGATAGGTAGACCTCAATGAGGTATGAAAGACCTCAAGAGGATTCGTGCGCTCGCGCCTTTATTCCCGAGATATCGAGTTTTCAAGATGCATACGAAAAGGAACCGAAATGAAAAATGATTGTTTTTAGAGAACAGTAGAGTATTCAGGTGGAAATTTTTTAAAGTTTCGCGCCCTGCTCGTGCAACCTGTTCTGGATTAAGAGTTAGATCATATCTTATCAGTACCACTTCTATTGGCTGTTCATCAGTCCACAGAACACCCAGAACTCTTCATTTCATATCTGATATCGTTATACACTAGAAAAGTCCTCACAAGAGTGAATCAATGAAAATGATATTTCAGGAAAAAGTGATTGAAACATAGTGGTTTGTCACACCAACTGCAGCAGATAAAAGGAGCCGCATCGTATGAAGGCGCGGCGCATATTGTTGCATCGAAGGAAAAACAGACTTTGGCCACAGTTTTAAAGGATCCTGGATGATTGTCTATGTAGTCACTGGCGTACCAAGCGTATTGGATCATCGGACGAAAAACTTCGGCAGAGAGTTGGTTATGAGTGAGCGACACGAGGCGAATGATGTTATTCCGTTCGCTAATGTTGATGTCAAGTTCGTCGAGCAGCACGCGATCGTATAGCCGACGAGGGATTACTTTTATCTGCCTATTGAAAAAGACATCTAATGGCTGAATTTGATCCGTCGTTTCCTTCGGTATTTCAAGTCTTGTGCACCCGGAAATATGATCGTATAATCCCTTTCCATATGTCTGTCCTCCCCAACAGTGCGAGATAAGTAGAAACTTCTTGCGATGACCAAGTGATGGGAGAAGAACATGATCACGCCAATACTCGACCAATGATGTCGTGAGCTTTCCAGAAATGCTTCAGGTGATCACCATATTCGACGCCTTAAAAAGATGCGAGCGAATGTTCTCGCTCATGTGTCCTTTGGGCTCCTTCAAGCAAAGGTAAAGCGGCGAGAGGAGATGATCATCGAGTGCGATTGCTGGCTGCACTGTATAGCTGTGGGTAGTAGAGTTTATAGAGCGGACGGATCCAATTGTATCTTTCTCTCCTTTGTGGCTTAATGTTCGGGTAGAGTGTAATTCGAGCTGGATGCCACTTTGATCTGTGTTAATAACTTCGCTGGCTTCATATTGGGGCAAACGTTTGCGAACATCAGCTATGAACTGATCGGCCGAAGTTCTGATCGTCTCCTGATTTTCTGTTTGGCGCTTCGTCACAATCTATGAAGAACAAATAACCTCAGTAAGTTTGATCTCAATTAGTTTTGAAGAAACCAACGATTCTCGAAAACCGAGAAGTCTGGACCTCGTAAACGGCTCTTTTTTTTCATTTTCATCTGATTTTTGAAGACAGAGCTTCTTCTCACAGATTCATAAAAACTGATCACAAATCTCTTACCTTCGTTACCTTGCGCGAGATAATATTGTGTTTATGTTTAAAGGTGTACAGCCAATGATTTGAAGCGACAAAATTGTGTAAAGACTCATCCAGAGCCTTTTTAAGAGCCCATCGACGTAGATCAATATCATGCACTGGCAGTGCTTTCTCTCGTGCCCGTTCGAACATATCAAATACGTAATCATCGATTTTGTCGAGCTTCTGTTTCTTCATCCCATGTTTCTCAAGATAATGGCGAAAGCGAGCGAGATAGGTTTGATGCGGAATAGGTCGGAAGTAATTTTTCACTGTCTCCCATCGTCTCTTTCGTTTTCCAGTTTGTGAATTAATTTCGTCATAGAAATTGACTGCCTTGGTCATGTAATCGAGTGAAAATTGTCTGCATAATACCCTCTCTTCATCTTCATCCTCATCATTCCAGTTGGGATCCAATGTTTCTTCAGCTGTATCTTCGCACTCGACATCATTGATCAATTCGTCATCGGCTGACTCGTGATCGAGAGTTGTTTCGATTTCGATGATATGGGAGTGACTGCTAGTAATCGATTCGAGCACACCGCACAACAGTTCGGCTACTTCACATTCACGATTTGTAATAGTAGCGGTGGCGGTCGCGTTGTTCGACACGATAGAAGACAATAAGGTCGACGCTCGATCAGTGAAAATCTTCATGACATTTCCTGGGTTGATCATTTTGAAATAGACGTGAGAAAAACTGGTATCGGCTGCTTGCTTGTACGTCACTTGTATATTGTATACGATCGAATGAAGAGAAAAACGACCTCGTGGCACGAATCCGACATGAAAGAGAGAACAAAAGGAGAAAGCAACTAGAGAAACGTAAACAAAGAACACGAGCATGTCATATTTATCAACCAAACATGTTGGTATGCTACCGAAGAAAACGAAAAGATATTCGATAGTGTATCATTCGCTTCCATCAATCATTTTTTTCTAGTGTATAACGATATCAGATA